CTCTTATACCAACACCTCGGTGTCTGTTTGAGACCGTATAGAGATTTGTTCAACCTACAAACCAAGTTCTCCTTTTTCTGGTTCTTCAAAACCTTCTGGTTGGAGCATATAAATTTCTTCTTCAAGATCTCCATGAAGAAATGCAGTCTTTACATCTAACTACTCTAAATGTAAGTTGAATATTGCACACATAGCTAGTACTATACGAATTGTAGTGAGACGAACCACAGGTGAAAATATTTCAGTAAAGTCTGTACCTTCTTTCTGAGAATAACCTTTCACCACCAATCTTGCACGATACCGCTCCACCTGATCATCATTATTTCGTTTGATCTTGTATACCCATTTGTTTCCAATGGGATTTCTACCTTGCGGCAATGGCACAAGTTCCCAAGTCCTATTCTTATGAAGGGCTTCAATTTCCTCCTGCATTATTGTCATCCGCAATGATGCATCTGAGCTAGTTGTTGCTTCTCTGAAGGTTGATAGCTCTCCATCTTCTGTTAGAAGACAGTATGCAACATTGCCCTCCATAACATAGTCGGACTGCCAGGTTGGTGTTTTCTTCTCACGAGCTGACCGTCGAACTTCTGCAGTTTCAGACTCAACTGGTTCTTGCTCCTCGTGTTCTATGGTTACTTCAGAAGAATCTAGTTGTCCAGATTCGTCTTCCACCTGAATCGTCAATTTTTCTTAATTGTTAGCTAAAGTGCTACTTACATTTTTCTCTTGTAGCTTATCTTCTGCAAATAGTACATCTCTGCTGATGACGACACTGCGGGCAGTAGGATCCCACAGTCGATACCCCATAACTCCATCAGCATACCCTAAGAATCTACATTTCCTGGATTTTGGATCCAGCTTTGTGACTTCTTGGGTGTTGTACATCACGAACATAGGACTCTCAAATGTGTGTAGGTGAGAATAATCAACTGGCTTACCAGTCCATATATCCATCGGTGTTTTCAGATCAATCGCCGTTGATGGTGAACGATTAATCACATAACAGGCAGTGTTGACTGCTTCGGCCCAAAATGACTTTGCCATACTTGCAGGCCTCAACATAGCTCTAGTTCTTTCGAGTAGAGTTCTGTTCATCTGCTCTGCCACTCCATTCTGTTCCGGAGTGTATGCCACCGTGAGTTGCATTCTGATACCTTCCTGATTACAAAAGGCATTAAATTCATCACCTGTAAATTCTCCACCATTGTCTGTCCTGAGACACTTGATCTTCTTCTCCGTCTCCACTTCTATCTACGCTTTGAATGTCTTGAAGACTGAAAATACATCCGCCTTCCTCTTGATTGGGTACACCCAACATCTCCTGGAATAATCATCAATAAAAGATACAAAGTACTTCGCTCCTCCCAGGGACATAACAGGTGCTTGCCATACATCAGAGTGAATCAATTCCAGAATATTTTTACTTCTAGAATTAGATGCAGTGAACTTCAATCTATGTTGCTTACTTGTAACACAATGCTCACAAAATGGTAAAGTTACCTTTGTGAGACCAGGGAGTAGTTTCCGTTCAGCAAGAATTTTCAACCCTTGTTCTGACATGTGGCCCAGTTTGCGATGCCACATCTTTGTTATATCTACCTCAGAATTGGTTGATGCAACAGATGCTTCTGCCTCCAGATGCGTCTCTCCCATAAGCCTGTACAAGTTTGCTGCAACCCTCTCAGCCTTCATCACCACAAGCGCTCCTTTGATGATCTTCATCACTCCGTTTTGAATACGGGTTTCATAATCATTTTCATCAAATTTCCCTAAAGACAATAAGTTTTTCTTCAAGCCCTTCACATGCCGCACATTTTGGATTGTGTGAATCGTTCCATCATACATCTTTACCTTGATGGTGCCAACTCCAGCAATCTCCAAGGTATGATCATTTCCCATATACACAAACCCTCCAGAGATAGGTTTGTATGAATGCAACCAATCTCTCAGAGAAGTCATATGCCATGTTGCTCCTGAATCCATTATCCATGCATCAGCGAGCTCCAATCTATCCTTAGACACCGTTGCTGCTTCACTGTATAGAACATTTACATCGGCAACACATCCTTGTGAAGTTGATGCTTCTGAAGTCTTGTCTCCACCACTCCTTAGTCGACACTCATTTTTATAGTGTCCTTTCTTGCCACAGTTGTAACACTTGACAAATTTCTTACCTCTAGACTTTAACCTTCCTTGTCTGTGATTCCCACTGGAACCACGTTCCATTGACCGTCCTCTTGTCATCGTCAAGGCCTTCGCTTGATGCGAACTTGCCAGCCTTTCTTCTTTGCTTATCCGCCGTTTTTCTTCTTCAAGAACTGCGGCAGCAACACTGTCAAACACCAGGCATTCAGTGTTATTAGTGATGTTGATAATGAGTTGGTCATATGAATCTGGAAGACTCTGGAGTAGAATTTCAGCACACTCAGCTACCTCAATACTATGTCCCAATGATGTAAGTTGAGAACATAGAGAGGTTAGAGTATTAATGTGCTCTGTTACTGAAGTGGATTCAGACATCCGAAGGGTGTAAAGCTTCCTCTTCAGAAATATTTTGTTGTGAAATGACTTGGATGAGTATAGTTTTGTGAGGTGATCCCATATCTCCTTGGCTGTTTTCTTTTCCTCTATCCCGAATTATATATCATCCGAAAGAGACAGGTGCAGATCAGAAACGGCCAGTTCATCAAGTTTCTTCCACTTGTCCTCTGTGATCTCCGGTGGCCTAGCACTGATGGCCTCCACATAATTATCTTTGGTCAATAGTGCTTTCATCTTCAATTTCCACAACGTGAACTTTGTTCCGTCAAATTTGCCAATATCAACCTTTGTTGTCATGGTTCTATCACGAACTGTTTTTGCTGCAAAATAACTCCCACTGCTTCACTTGGTCTCCTTCAACCAGTATTTTGGACAGTGCACTAGGAAAGTTTCCAGGAAAGATTGGAGGGGTCACAAGTGGTCCCACTTAATACCCAATCTCCTTAAACTGTTTCGTCTTTGTGACAAAACTTTCCACAGGCACTTAATCACCCAAAATACCTCTTCAGAGGAATGCTCCGATCGCGAACAGTAACTGTATACAGTAGTAGTCTCTGTATCACACCTGCTATAACACCTGCAGCACCTCAGTATAAATTAATACTGATATCAATCCAACAGCTCCCCAAGGATTATTCTTTTCTGATGTGACAGCTCAGTCTAAGCTGCAGTCACAGAGCATACTAAGAAAACCTCAGCTCTGATACCTCTGTTAGAGAATAGGATTCCATCGGACAGAATAATGACAACAAATAAAGAAAATTGAAAGCAATAAATGGACACAGATATTTTACGTGGGAAAACCCTCAAAGTAAATGAGGTAAAAACCCACGGGCAAGAGTAGAAACTTTTCACTATGGGAACTCTAAAATTACAACCTCCCTTTTATCACAAGGAGAGAACAATTTTTATCTCTCTCTTGAACTGGGAATACACCTCACAAAATACACTCAATATAATATTATAACAAATAATATTATTAAAAGAATATAATAAAAAGAAGAAGAAGAGGAGGAAGGTGTAAGGGAAGGAGGAAGGGGTGGGTTTATTTTATAAACCCCTCCCCCCTTTCAAAGTCATCATCCCACCGATGTGGGATATCATTCAACAACGTTTTTGTGCCAAGAAAAACTATGACTCATAGCTTGAAAAATTACTTTGTAAACTTCCAATTTTTTTCAAAAATGGCTCAAAAATATGTTATTTTTGAGATAGATTATATTAAAATCTCGTTGATTTGTTGTTTTTGGGTTATTTTGTGATGAAAATTGCTCAAAAATATACTCTCTTTTTTAGTTTTGATGAAGCTCCCATGGCGGAACCCAATTTTGAGCAGTCAACCTGTCAAAAGAAGAAGAAAGCACTGCAATAGAAGAATCTCAAGAAATCCTAGGAGTTAGGGTGAGATTGTGAGAGAGACATCCTATTTATATTTTTCACTAAAAAAGTCTCACGAAATCTACACTAACAGAAAATCTATTAAAATCGTCGAATTTTTTAATACCACGAGATTGTGATTCCATTGTTTAAAATCTTGATTGAATACCAACGAATTTGGACGTATTCTAAAATAATCCTTTAAAATCATAATCGAATACAAACAAATTTTTTGAAAAAAAAATAATCCATTAAAATCGTTTGAAATTTCAATCCAATACACCTCTAAGTCAATAACAGCCGGAGTCAATGAAAACATAGTCGCTCGTGGACTACTTGGGAAGTGGGATAGATTAATTTTAGAACATTTTTAAGCCTACGGTATCATTTAATTTTGTGTTAAAATTATATTGAATAAATTTGATTTTATTATATAAAATATCAAACACATCAAATGACCATGTTGTGTGAAAATTTTTAACTAATAATAAAGAAATCAAGGGTAATAAGAGAAGAAAAAAATATTAGAATACAATGTCTATCAATTGTTAAAAACATTTAACAGCTTCTGATATGAGGATCCATTCTCAAAAAATTTACACGATATGTGAAAGTAAGTCAAAATTAAGTTATATGCAATCTGAGATGGGTTTTAAGACAAAAAAAACTTGTAACATGTTTAGAATCATGATGGCGCAGACTGAAACGCAAGTGTTGTTTAAGAACTCTTGAAGCCACTCAACTGGTTCTGTTCTTCGGGCCAACTCTCACTTCACTGTTTTTCATTTCATTTGCGTTTATTTTTATATTTATCACGAGGGGGAAGAAATCTTTCCAAATATATTTTATTAAACATAGTTAATTTACTTTTTATTAATATTAAACCTATAATAAATCACCACATAATTGGTATAATTGACTAACGAATTTTTTGACAGTGAAGCTTCAAGTTGTTCTGTATGTTAATTTTGACATCATTCCTCATACATCACTTAATTGGTCATCTTATTTTTATCAAAATAATAGTCTAGAACAATAAAAAAAATGGCATCTAAGTAGAAAATGACTAGGTTCCAAGTCAGATGATAACTCCACATTCATTCATATTCATTACCGAAAGCAACATAAAACGCTCGACCGCACTGCACACAAATCACAATTCATTTCAACCACCCCTATATCCCAAAGTGGGTGGTGGACCTACAAATTCATTTCAATCCAATAATTTTTTTTTCCCTTTACGAAAGCAAAGCCACATAAATATGACTTATTCAACCTTTCTAAACGAGACAAACCAAATGTTATCTTAATTAGAAGATAAGATCATAGATTATACATAATGACATCACTCTGTCTCTAATCGGAGGTCCACGTGGACGGTCCAGATAAACTCATCCAACTTGCGGTCCCACATCTCATCGAACGGCTGAGATCGAATCAAATCCGCTCCAGCTTCTCCGCTTTGATCACAGGGTTCGCCCGAGCTATTTCCTCTCGCCCAACCGTCTTAAAATCGAAACTGCACGCGTGTTTCTCAGGGTACCTGTGGGACCCGCAAAACGTGACCCCGCACCTACACTTGAACCCGGTCAAACCCACGCGCTTCCGGCACGTCGCGCACCGGTTCGGTTGAACCGAAGACACGGAAACTGAACCGACCGAACCGACGGATACGGAGCTTGACGCGACCAACGCCGGCGGAGGAGGGAGTGATTCGACGGAATCGACGATCAACGGAGAAGGAGACGGAGACGACGTGGACAACGACGGCGGCGGCGAAGAAACAGCGGCGGAGGAGGAGGAGGAGGAGGAGGAAGAGAGAGCGGTCTCGATGGTGGATTTGGTAGATGCTTGTTCTTGTTCCTTCAAACATATGTCACCGTAGCATTTGGAGCAGAGATTCATGGTGGCTGAGCTACCGAAGAAGCCGCAATTGTTGGCGCAGAGTCGGTGACCTTCGGGAGCTTGGCATCGGTGCTCTTCCGCCATTTAGATCTGTGCTCGTAGATTTTCTTTTTCTCTTTCTCTCCTTCGAGGAAAACGAAAATTCGCGAGAGGAATCGGAGAAAATTCTGAACCTGCCGGAATTTAAAGAGAGAAAGAAAAAAAAACGTTAACAATTCTGTTTGGATTCCGAGAAAATTTAAAGGATAATTGCAAAGCTGGTTAAGAGCTGGAACGAAATACTGTATATAGGTAGAAAAAGTTGAAAAATACAGATTGCCATAACCGTATCTGATTTTTTATTTTTTTTTATTTTTTTTTCCTACGTTTTCGCTGCTGATTAAACAAATCATGGTCATAAATAGGAGAATTTAGTTGCTGTAACGAAGGTTAAAAACTATAAAAATAAAATAAAATTAAGAAAAGAGAAGAAAATAGTACCTGGTTGATGCGAAGAGGAAAAGGTTGAGGTTGGAAATGAGAAGCAGAAAGTGGAAGAAAGAGATAATAAGAACGGTGGTGGGAATGGAAGGGAAAAAGAATCTTAACGGGGAAGGATTAACAGAGTTAGAAAGGATGTGTGAGAGAGAGAAAAAGGAAGAAACGGCGAAACTCGACAAATCATAATAATCATTTTCAATTGTTAATATTTTATGGTTTAATTGACTCAGACAAATTATTAATATTTTATCTTTAATATTTTATCATGACCCAATAAAGAAATGAACCCCCACATATTTGTTTCTTTTTTATTGCGTAGGAAATAAAATTTGTAGTTACATAAAAATGGATTATCTCATATTTTATATGGTAAAATTATTTATGCATTTTAGTAAAAATATTTTATCTGTTGCAAACACATAATTATCAGGATACAATATTATCAGATCATGATGCGGCAAAGTCAATTGCAGAAAAATCGAAACCATTTTATATACTCTAAGGAGAGTTACATGATTTTTGTAGAGCATCTTGACAAAGGCAAATTGATGGAATTTGATGATGAAGAGTAACTAATAGTGTTTTTTGGACCTGTTCAGCTCTAGAGAGTTGAATCTAGATTTTGAGTTTGATTAAAAGAGTGCTATCTAGGTTGACATTATAATTTGGAAAGATAATGAAAACTTCCTTCTAGCATACACGATAATTAGAATAGTCTCGATTACAATATCCTCACATTGGAAATGGTTGGATCCAGTAATATAATTATAATTGGAAGTCCTTTTCTTCCATGAAAAAAATTATAATTAATTAATCTCTTGATCTACACATTATTCAACGCTTGTTGCTTCAAGAGCAAATTGGTCCAACTCAAAGGATTCAACCTATTCTTTGACATTTGGTTTGCTTATAAAGATCAAACATCTGATATAAATTGAATGATAGATGGTTGTCTTCTAAAAATATTACAAAGTCTTTAAAAGAAGAGAAACAAATTCTGCAATTCTTGTGTTATTATGAACATTAAAAATAACTAACAAGGTTTACAATTTATGCAAAAGAGTTTTAAAACAAAACCTTAATAGAAAAAAGTACGGACGTAAACATTATCGGATTATTTTACGATGTTGATACTTATTATTTCTTAATCACCTCATTATCATATTCATAGCACGAGGAAAATATGCATTACTCTTATTTATTTTTTTAATTAACAATCCAATAAAAAATAATACTATCGAGAGAAAATGACAGGCTGGTTGTGGTGGTACTGAATATGGATTTGGTAGCCACTTTTTAAATTCAGCGTCTTTTTAAAACGAGAAAATATATTCTTATATTGTAGGAAAATATTTTTTTCTCCTACGTATATATATCGACTTCCGTGTTATTATTTTTTCTTAATTGAGTGAGTTTCACACACGACTATTTTTATGACATAAGAAAAATTCTCTTATGTTTCATGAAATTAATAGAGCTCTTTAAAAATTTATAACAGGATTCATTAAAAAAAAAAAAAGTAATAACTATTGATCAAATGAATCCACTAAGGCGATAAGTTGGTGACAGAGTACTTTCCCAGAACAGTATCATATATCCGCGTTTGAGGACTGAGTATGCAAGGTGGGCTTTGGAGTTGAAAGCAACGGAACCTTGTATTGTGTTGTGTTGTTTTTGTATTCTGTGGGCTATAGGGTCGGCACCGTCGCCTAAACTGTGGTACAACCTGTCATCCATATCTCCCTCAAAATAAATATCGTTATGATAATATTGTTAGAAATTTTTATAATAATTATGGACTTTAATCAATTGTAATTTTTCTTGTTTTAATAAAAACGGGCTAAGTCATGATCCATATAGAGGTGCAATATAAAGCCCAGTTAATTAGTGATCTGTTTGGTTTGGGCTTGGATATCTGTAAACTGATTAGTGTGGGTAACAGTGTAGGCCTAACTCATAAACCCATGATGGGAAGGAGACTAGGGTTAATAAGTTTGGCTAGGTCTCCTCTGCATTCACAATGTGTTGGAAAACTGTCACTCCACAACTTGCCCCATCGACAGTTGTGATAAGGAAGTGGTGTGAATTGCAGAGGAAGATCCTAGTCTTTCCATTGCAGGAGCATCAGAGTAAACAAGAAGTCTTCAAGAAATCAAGAATCATGTCTTCAACAAGTAAGCCTGAATCTTTTGGTGTTCTAATTTCATATAATCCTATTTTAAAATTTCTTACATTTGGTATCAGAGCCTATATTATATGATTTAGGACCCAATTGAATATGATTAAAATTAAGAAATTGAATTCGTTGCTTTTTCTTAATTATTATATATTTTTAAGAAATCAAAGCCAATTATTTTAGAATTTTTCGAAAATGAGTTTTGAGGTTTCGATTCATAACCTGTGCGCATATTTGAATCAAATATATAACAAAGATAATTTCTTTGTTATATCATTATTGTATATTTTTTTTAAAATAACCATAACGAAATTGTGAATTAAATAACGATCAGGTCTTCAACAATTGTGAAACTTATTTTTGTTTCTATTGATCTCCATGAATAGAGATGATGAATGCATGTCCGTGAAAAGAGTTTTCTTTTTTATTAAATTTTACTTTTAAACCTAGGGTCTTCAAATTATTTGAATTTTGTGAATGAAATTTTACCATTTTAATCATGGAACATATTTTTATTTTTCATGTTGCCATTGATGGAAGTATAGTAACCCGTTAGGAATTTTGGTTTAAATCCTCTTTTTAAAAGTAATGAATCCATAAAGGATTGAATGAGTTTTGGCTTGGTTTTATTGAGCTTTGATTTTGAGAAGAAATTGGGCCTAAAATTGATGCACAATTCAATTAAAAAAAAATAAAAAAATTCAGCATCTGCAGCGAGAATTCTAGAATGGAATTGGAAAAGAATACTTCCTTTATGGAATAGCAATTTTACTAATTTGCCATCAGTAATTGTGTTATTATTTTTATTATGAAAAATTCAGTATTTTTCAATGATACATAGTTAATTGTACCAATGTCAGTGTGTAGTATGTGGCTTAGGAAAGTAATATACCATATTTATGCACACAACATTGATTTTGGAGAGTGTTAGTCCGTATTTAATATGATCGCGAACAAATTGTAGTATTTATAAAAAAAAAAAATTGGAAAATTGATTCATTGTATTTGGGATCAGAAGATGATGTGATTTGGATGTGGTTATGATGGAGTGTTGATTACTCTGAGCTTCTAATGCTTTCTCTGATATTTTTATCTTATTAAAGTGCATGCTTCCGCTTGAATTGATTAAGTGCGAAACTTGTATGGGAATGCTATTGTTTGAATTCATGATCGGTAGGTGTGTTTTACCTCCTTATAGATTATATCATGATTTTGGGGAAGATAAAATTGATTTATGTGCAAAAGTTCTCATGAATTACTATAGGTAATTACCATCAAAGTGAGATTGTTTATATTGGTATGTGAAAATTTCTTTGTAAAATTTGGGAAATGATTTTGGTTATTTCATGCAATTACCTGCCCAAGGGGGTAATTGTGTGCTATAACTGTGAACTTGTTTGAGATGAAGTTAATGGATGTACATTGGTCTAAGTGATCTGTCTGCCCAAAGGGGACAAATCTCTGAAGCTAGTGTATGCTCATTGAGCAATTTTTTTTGAGGTTGTAGATGAAGTTATTGGAGGCTCATTGGGCTAGAGGCCTATCTGCCCAAAGGGGATAGATTTTCAAACTCAGTGTTGTGCTCATTGATTAACTCATCTGAGGTTCTGACCTTGGTTTAGACATTGGTTTGTGCATTCTGCCCAAAGGAGAATGTACTATTATATTGGCTGGCCTTGTTATGACAACTTGTTGTGCTAAATAATTAACTGATCCTATCAACTTCTTCTTGAGATTGTAATGAAGTTATTGGAGGCTCATTGGTCTAGGAATCTATCTGCCCAAAGGGGATAGATTTTCAAAACCAGTGTTGTGCTCATTGATTAACTCATCTGAGGTTCTGGCCTTGGTTCAACCTTGGTTAGTGCGTTCTGCCCAAAGGGGAATGTATTATTATGTTGGCCTCATTATAATATCTTGATTTAATTAAAGGTGTATATTGCCCTGTAACTTACTCTGATGCATTCCTGTTTTGCCTTAATAATGACCTTCTATGTTTGATTCATTTTGAAATTAATATTTTGAAATATTTATTTTAATTTTTTATATACATGAATATTTATTTGGAATTATTTGCTCTCATTCATATTTAATTTTGTGAGCTCTTATTCATATTTAACTTTGTAATAAATATTTATGTTCCTTTTTCAAATTTTTAATTAATGAAAAATTGTTACATATTATCATGATTATGATGTTAGTATTTACTCTCCCAATTTTAGCGTAGATTTTATGTGCTTTGTCAATTAAGTTTGATTAGTGAGCTAAAATATATAATTGTTTATATTGAGGATTGAAATTTATAACACAAATTGCAGTTTAGTAAATGCAATGTGAATTTGGGAAACATATTCTATAAGGTTTTTCATAATTATTTAGGTATGATTGTTGAGAATATTATTTGTGAATCGTCGGGATTCTTTGTTAATAAATTATTGTTTGCAATTATCTGCCCAAAGGAGAGTTTGTAATATGCTAATTATTTTGTTAAAATTATTTCATTGCTCATAATTAATATAATTGCATTTATGTAATAAATATACTTTTGATATGAATTATAACAATGCCTTAATAGAATTGTTGATTGGATTGAATTGTGATTAATGGAGATAAAGTCTAGATTTTTATTTTATTTTTTTATGAATTTTGATCTTGATAGGGCATTGTGTGTTAGCCCATGATTAATGTAGAGAACATACTTGACGTGTTTTTTAGTGGGAGAGATATGATTAATTTTGTGTGATCTTGAAGTTATTGTCAAGCTAGTGGGAGATAATTGCTTAGTTTTTAACGTCAGGATATGGATTTATTTTGAAATGAATTTTCTATAAGGCCTCTTTGAGAAGGTTTTTCAATTCTATATCCTTTTTTAAATCAACATGGATTTTATTTTACAGTAATGGTGATTTGATGAGGTAGTGACTTTCTTGAGGATGAAAATAATTGCTGTTAGTATATGTACCATAAGGTCAGTGGGAGAAAAGTCTCTTTTCTTGTATTGTATGTGGA